ACCGTAATAATTGGAGTTCAACCACATCGGAGTTGAGATAGTTAACCGCCAAATGCAATGAACGATGGTCACAGAATATTGCTGGTCAACTGAGTTTAAACATGTAAATAATTGAATGATGGATCAACGGTCTAGAGGCCGAGCATGCACACGTGAATCTGAATATCTTAGGTTCGATTCTCAATGGGTTTTGGGATTCCTAATAATGAAAAGCCGCATGCTAAGACTTAAAAACTATCTATCACTTCTTGACTTCCAGTGGTAGTCTATCTAAGATCAATTGGTAATTTAAATTATGAAAATTCTTCAATCCTAAAAATCCCCCATATTGATTTATATAGAAAAGAAACCGTTACCTAATATTAAAAACTATATTATTATTGAAAAATATATCATTGAATATTTCTTAAAATTGAATAGTTAATTCGTCTAAATAGAATAATTGTGACTTTAATGACAGTGTTTTAGCATTAATTAATTTATACTGGATAACCTTTAAAACAGTGATACTAAACGGTAAGCAATTTCTAGCAAGATATTCCACGAAGTTAAGTAATTGCTTTGATTTAAACTAAAACACTTAATGATGATTAAGTCATTTAATTATCATTGTTTAGATAATTTATGGGACTGTTGATTTATGACGAAAATAATTATCTAAATAAAACAAAACAGATATTCTATACCTCTTGGTTTTTAAATGTTTTTCAATCTTTGATCAATACTATATTTCAATTAAGACAATCTGTAAAAAAATATTTAAATAAAATTTACGTTTATAAAAAGGCTTATTTTGAGATCTTATTTTACACACTGAAATTCCATCCTTTTGGGTTTTAGGAAAACCATATATTAGCTAGTAAGTAAACGTATAATGACTTAAATTTCATAAACTTGTCTTAACTAAATGGGGTTATAGATTTAGTCCTTCTTCATTTTTCTGTGATAGTTGATGTAAACTTATGTGTTCTATCAACATTAAGCTGACAAGCGAAGATATATATTAAGAGATAAGTCAATCCGATTTCTATGAACTTATCGAAAGTAAACTACAAATAACGTGCTTGTCTTACATACTTACCTACTTACACCTGTTACCCCTCATGGAAGAGCAAAGGCTTCCCACCAGCATTCTTCATCCAACTCTGTCCTGGGCAGTCTTTTTCAGTTGTTTTCAGTTGCTATTCATCCTTCTGATGTCTGTTTCCTATTCTCGATGCAGTGTGTTCTTTGGCTTTCTTCTTTTCTATTTTCCTTCAAGTTATCACAATGACCTGATTTAACGCCGCTGGAATAACTGAAAAAAACTCACTTCCATATGACATAAGCGAATGAGCATGGAGTGATCTACATATATCACCTTAAGACTATCCTAAGTCCAAACGTAAAAAAGCACGAGGTTCTGAGTGGATATATCATTAATTCGTATATCTGAAAGCAGTAATCCACGAAACAGATATCTGTACAGAAATAATAAATTATGGTGTAGTAAAGACAAAATCTGATACTCCCGAAGTCCTAATAACAGAATTACTATAGTGTATGAAATCATTTACTGGTAATTGAAACTCATATATTTAAAATACTGTTCACTGTGGTAGCTTGTTACATAACGATATACATAGGCTATATAAATATATATATATGTATATAACAATGCTATTATTATTTTTGAGCCTTATGAGAATCCTCATGTTAACTTCATCTTTTCCTACTAATATGATCTTCCAAAATCGACTAAAACAAATATAAATTAAAAAAAGTTTGTCCAGTACATTGCATAGTCAAAAAAAGTTGTTCTGTTTTTAGTGTTTAACCATTGATTGTATTTTTTCTACTGTGACGTCTTGTTACCTTAAAATTAATATTACATGAATTTACTTTCAATAGTCAACAAATAAACCTGTAAATGAAAAAGGACAAATAATCTAATTAACGATTAATTTACTGAAATACAAAACAATTTGTGAAAAAAAACAATGTAGTAAATGTATGTTGTAAAGCATTTATTGATGAAACTAAAAAGGACGAAATGAACTAAAATTAAATGAGCAAAAATATAAGAAAAAACAAATCATGTGAAGATGTACATAAAGAACGTTATATCAGTTTTCTAGTCTTAGATTTAAATGTCAAAGCTCAGTGAACAGACGGCAAAGTATCGTTTAAGAAAGTAGAAGATATAAATAATTTGCAAATATTCGATCATATGTGTCTCCATAGCATTTCTCACGTACAGTGGAACAACTGAATATGCACAGTTGAGACTAGACGGAAGGTACCATGCAGATATGATAAATCGGTTGATAATCCTGTGAATCGTCATCGAATAAAGTACCTAATATATGTATTATTTTTACATGACCACCTGATATCTGAAAGTTTATTTTAACTGGTATAGAAATGACTTTAAAGCGCAAAGAGGTGACGATAAAACCAAGGCTGATCATCAGCTTGCAAAGTCAGTGACTGTTGAATACAGACTACCAAGTTGGAGTCCTCACGACAAGGGCTTGTATACGTCGCATGAGTTAGCCCATAATTGGTTACGATGACCAAAATGTATTTATTTTTATTACTCCTTAGATATCAAGGTCCAATATTGTTTCATACCTTATATTTCTTGAATTCATTCTTTATTTTCTTAACTTATTCTTTAATCTTTAGTCTTTCTCACTATTTCTGGTACTACTGTTATCTTTTCTCTTTTTCTGTTTATCAAGTTCATTTAGTTGTGTTGTGATATGACAGTTTGGGGTGTGGTGCATTCATGTCAGTCTGTATCTTGATTATGACTAACTGATCCATTGATAACAACAAAAAATTTACTCAAGTAGGATTTATCAAATGTTTACTAGTAAATTATATTTAGATCAATTTTTTGAAAATACGATCTGAGACCATGACTGATATCGTAAATAACTCATCAAGAACATTTTACGTAAATTATTCCATATCATAATATGACTAAAATAAAAAAGCTGAAGCAATAGAATTTGGCTAAATATTCTGGAAGTATGTAGTGTCGTATATGAGCACTGTGGGCAAATGATACAATTCTACAGGACTCTTTGATTTATCAACAGTTCTTCACTTGGTGTCAGTTTATTACTAAAAAAATATCCTGATACTAATCAGTATATGTACTCTAGTGACTGGCTTCAAGAGGTATTTCCTAGAGTTCTAGTGAGAAGTAGTGACCAGTGTAGTTCAACCGGGTCTTTTGTGAGATAGTAACTCACTGAAGATAATAGTGGATGTGTCACTCAATTTCGTAGATTATTTGAAGTTAGACATTAACACCGTTGGATGCCGGCTCAGTAGACTAGATGCTAAGCGTTCGCGGGCGTGGCCGATACTCCCTGGGTTCGTACCTCGCGAGGCGGGATCATGGATAAGTACTGCTGAGGAGTCCCACAATAAGATGAAACGGTCATCCAGTGCTTCCATGTTTTCATTGGTGGTCTAGCTTCAATTTACTCATGATATCAACTATTAAAAAATATTTCTTCTAATTAATTGAAACATATGTTCACAAAATGTCCACCTAGTGATTAATCAGTTGAAAATAAAGACTAATTGTAGATAATTATGTTATAGATCATGTAAAAACATAAAAATGACTTAAAACAACTATATTAATAAATGTACGAACTGTACTGGAATAGTATGATTAATCTGGTACCGTCCTGAACATGTAGCACGCCAGATGCTAAATGTCATAATGAACAGATGTCATACCAAATTGGTACAAAAGAATGTTAAATTCAACAGACCTCAAATAAATATTATTAGGAATTAAAATGAATGTTGACTTGAATACATATCGTACTAAATCAAACTATGATATGGTTTAATTTTACTTGGTCGTAATAATACTACAGAAGAAATTTCAAAATTACATACTGGGAGAGTGATAATTAGTACCAACGTTTGAAATAAAACTCTTACACTGTTTTACCAAACCTGATTAGATCAACAGAAATTTATAGAGAGTAGTGGCTGGTCCTATGTTGAGCTCACATAGCTTATTCTGGCTTCTGAACAAACCAATTTATACATTCTTCTCAAGCCACATTTTGACCTTGTTATTTATTCACTTATCAACCCTGACTGTTTTTATTTGAGCGTATGTGTGTGTGTATCTTATCCTACTCATCACATGTCTGTAGCTTATTTTTGTGTGACTATAAATATTGATTGACGCTTGATTAAATCGATTTAGCTCACATGCCTACTCCTCCGCGCATCATTTCGTTTCGTTTCGTTCCTTTGATCGTCTGCCTGGATCAATGATTGTACAGAATATACGTATTCGAAATCCTTTCTCGTATTTGACTTATTTTAATTCTGTTATTCACTAACGCGAGTTAAGTCGGTAATTATATACGAGGATAGTCAGGATGTATATTTGACAACAATCATTCATACGATCTAATTAGAGTCAGATATAGGGCCACTAAAAGATTTACACGTAATATCATTTAATTGCATTGCTTTTGTTACAAAAAACGTAATTTGAATTTAATGTTTCTCTGTTTACATGTTAACAGTATAAAATATCACTAATTGTATTTTTCAAATAGATATTTTGCTGGAAAATATCTACCAATATTGTTGGTCTCAGCATGGGACTCTTCAATACTGTACACTCACGATACGATCAGAAATCGAGCCCAGAATTATTGAATCAACCGGTGAATGTTTAACCACTGGGTCGGGTTATACTACTGTAATTCCAACTTCAGTCAGTTGAAAATGTAACATGACGAGCATACGGTGTGATTAGTGACAACTCTTTTATTCCCTACGTGTTTGAATTTCATCAGTTATGATTACTCACTACAACTACTGGAATATCTAAAATTAAGTCACCAATAAGTCAATCATAATCGTTTAGTTGAACGAGGGTTTTGGGAAATCAGTTTAATTTTTAGGTTATATTCGTCTTTTGATTACTTAACTCTGAATACCTGTGTTTTTTTGTATTTGTTATACAGTGAATTGACCATCTTATATCCTGAATCATGATGACATTGGATACCTGGAAATATTCTTTGCTGTTTCTATTGACAACTATCTTCTGCAATACATTAATCTCAGCATTATTTTATCATGGTAAGAATTCAAATAATATATTCATTTGAGATTGGAGTTTGCGACTTTTTTACTGATTACTATGACTTACAATTTCTTAAATATCATAAATCAACAAGAACAATTAACACTAAGTTTTTCTAGTTGTTTCATGTTTGATTTATTTACGAAGTTTTTAACGATTTTTTAACAATCATGATTTATCTTTAATCAAAATAATTTTAAATTTAACTAATACAATCGAATAGGTGTTGTTATAATGTCTTTTGAATGAAAGATTATTTTATAGACGATTCCATAATGTCAGAAGGGGTTTTATGGATATTATAGTAATTTCAATGGTTGAGATCATGAGTTTCACAATAGGACGAAGTGGCCGCCCAGTGATTTCAGGTTTTCCATGGTGGTCTAGCTTCAACTGACTCATGATCTAAACCATTGAAATTCCATAATGGTTAGGTTTCTTTCCATAATATATTTAAAGTATTGTTCCGTTATGCATTCATATCGAGATCTTTAAACTTAATACATGTTCATTTATCTTGTAATAAGCAACGTTCCGAGTTATATGTTGTAAAGTATAAAAAGAAAAGATTGCTATGTTTAAGGAAACTGTTTAAAGATTACCTAGAATTACACTGAACATCAGAACTCATGGAAAAAATTATATTAATTGAATACTGATGTTTAAGAGCAACGAATATAGTTCATTGATTTTCGGGTTTTATACTCATTAATTTATGTTGGCCATAAGTTAAGTAATGAGATAAGTCACTTTTGTTTAATCAAAACAGATTATCATTAAGAGGTTGGAAAGATCATTAAATTTCATTGAGATCATGAACTAATCAAAGTTAGAACACTAGTGCTTTCAGGTTTTCAACAGTGATTCAACTAAGAGCGGTTCATGAACTTAATATTTAACCGGCCAGAAATTATTAAGATTACATGACAGGAAACTGAATAAATGATTTCTAAAGTTTTTTGATACAGAAACTGTTAACTATTCAGTTTTAACTTATTTTGACATAAGGATCAGTTCAAATAAACCACCCATAAATTTTCCATAACGCCTATCAGAGAATAAGAGAATATTTTTTTATTCATCATTGAAATATTAGTCATATATCATTGAAATCCTGGTGTAACCTTCCACCAGGTAGGTTTAAAATAAATGTTTGTAAAGATTGTTATCAATGACTAACGCTAATTTGCTATGAAATAAATTCATTTAAGTTCAAAATTTAGACCTAATAAATTGTTTGTAAATCTTTATCCTACTTATAAACTATTTTAGTAGCTTAAAAAAGTGTCGTATTAATAGACTAGGATTTTCATTATTAACAATGATTGATAAATTTCAGTCTGCTGTTTCAAAGATTGTTCGGTTTCATTGAAAACCTGGACCGATCTATTTGATAAACCATTGGAAAACCGGCACTACATGAAGACTAGTTATTCTTAGTTTAGGTTGTAAAATAGTGTAAACTCAGAGTTCTAAGTTGCATCAGTCCACTAAAAACGGCATTATTGATGTTTAGACGGAACCCATGAGTAGTTTTTTAAATTTATGGCGAATTTGTGAAGTAATGCAGCTATCAAATAATACCACTGTGAATTAGCTGGCATCACTCACTCGATGGTGTTTCATATGCGTTAAGTCTAAATGAATTTCTAAATTACTCCAGAGTGGATTTTATTGATTCGTATGTATTTTCGCAAACAATACACTGAATACTTCGTCCGATACTTAACTTTAGGTACTATTGTAGTATTGTAAATGAAAATTATTCCTGGTATTTCTCAATAACTGTTTGTCTCGGTTGCAAAAGTAGTAAATTATCCGTTAAGCATTAGTTAAAACAGTCGGTTATTATTTACCCGCGTAAATTTTACGCAGAAAAATTCCACCAAATATATAGTGTGAAACTGTTTCATGTTTCCAATGTTAGTTTTATCACATACTAACAATGGTTGGAGAATCAATGAAAACCACTGAACACAGGATGGCTTTTATATATTTTTCTAGATTGAAGCATTCAAAATGTCTGATCATCATTCTAATCAATCATTTTATAAACAGGATATTATTTAATCGTTTGAATTTGAAGTCACTTATAGTAATTTCATTCAATTTGTGGTATATTCAAAGTATTAATAATTTTAATCGGTGTCCAATGATACCTATTTCACGATAATTTATTTGCTGGTGTCATCTCATAATAAAAATGATCAGTGAACAAACTCTCACTTATTATGAGGTTTTTAATTAATCAAAAAACACCATACTTTACTTTGACATCAATTAAGACAATTAGTTTGTCTGAATTGATGAAACAGCAGATAAGTTACAGTCTAAAGGTTTCACTGAATTTTTCTTAATGAACGGAATAAAACATATTTATTTAAGATAATTAATAAACAGCTTAGTTATGTCTCATTGAAAATTGGGAATTCCATAATAATCATTAGAGTTAAACCTGACTTAGGTGTTCGAAAATAGTCGATAATCAAATTTCAACTGCATTGGTAAAGGAAATGAATGGGGTTAAAAAATTATGTTTTTTTAAAATTCACTCTGTACTGAATAAGAATTAAGTGAATCTAATTAAAAATGCTTTTCCTCAGATCTCCTCTAATGAATCTTTAGTATACTATGTAATCAAATTTTATTATTTACTATTCTCAAATTATCAGTGAAATTTAATTTGTTTGTATGGGTTTGAATTTTGCTGTAGCTGAAGTTATAGACCGAATCTGGCATATGTACATCTTTAGTAGATTGTCTCAACACCATTAGGTTAGAATCATTCTTAACAGGAAATTTGATAATGGCTAGTAGTCGAATTCCGGACACACGCTACGTTCTATTTGGGACAAGACTATCATCTATAGATGAACAAATGAAATTAAGGATAGAATGTCTTTGATTTTGGCGCGAAATTCATTTATCTATACGGTTAAACATCATTTTGGTATGATAGCTGATGTCATTTCGTGATGAAAACCATAATTCCGAATCTCAACCCCAACTTTTGACTTTAAATCCCAATCCTAATTCCGCACACTAATTGATGACGGTCCTTGACACTTACAAGTAGATGATTCGTCTCAAGTTCAATTTAGCATCGCTTAACGTTTGTCAACAAATTCATATTAATCTACTTTATTTTCATTTTTAACTTTATCATATCTAGAACGCCCGGCAAATTTTCTGTTCACATAGTGAGCGAACACTATATCCTAAAGAGTAATTTACCTGGAAGTTTATTTAAGGTTGCAAAGCTTACTATTTTTGAGTTTTTCAGCTCATATTGCATCAGATATATCCATAACGCATGGTTCCGGATAACTCCAACCTATCAGTAACGTTTGTGATGTGACTTGTTTGCTTTAAACCATTATACTAACTTCAATAGTTTTAAACAAATGTATTAACACTGTAAAATGTGCAAATAAGCAATAACAAAACTTATGAAATACTAGGAAATTTCTAAGAGTTACATGTCGATCATAGTGTCGACCAGATACAAAATATAGAATGTGACTTTTCATTATTTATCATTGAATAAATAAAAGTTGGATGGAAGTAAGAAGATTGATTCGGCTGCCAGGACATTGACGTGTGTTAGTACAATTATAACTTCAGCAAATTCCTTACAATATATTTCATAGTATGATCATATCCTTAAGAGTGTTCCCAAACATTCATGAACAATTTATAGAAAGCATCATCTCCTATTAAGAATAATAAGGGGAAATAAACTACAATGAAAAATAGTCAGATCAAATAACTATAATTCACAGTATAAATCTTTCAAAGACAAGGTTTCATTAGCGTAGCATTAAAATGAAAAATGTTTATAAATTTTTACGTCAAACTTTGTATTATGTCACCTTGAACAACAGTCCTTGAGTTGGAATTTAAATGTGAAAAAATTTAGAAATCTATAATTTACAATCTTTTTTTTTTATTTAAAAAACCAAACTCTGTTTCCTTAATCAATTTCGAGATAGGCTCATGAAGCAATAGAAATTTTTTAAATGAGAATATCTGTACTACTTAAATGTTTCTTTGGAAAGCTTCCAAATTCATGATCTCGATTTATTAAAATAATCAAGAGAATAAAACATTTATGATTCATCTAAATCTTTTGTCAAAAGGTTACCCAAAAATCGATCTGTTTCTTACTGTAAACCAAATCAAACGAAATAATCATAAGCTATTATGTTAGATTATTCCACATTATTATTCCTTATGATAAATGTATAAATTTTACAATTGATTTATTAGAGAACAAATATATTCTGTACCTAAGATCCATTAACCATTCTAGTCTTCAGTTTGTTTCAAGATAATACATTTCTTGAAAGACCATATATGTTGTAAGATCATATGACGAATCATTTACATGACGGATGCAAATTCTTTATAATATCAATTCATTGATTTTGAAGTTAATCTTATCTGTGCAAGTCCTTATTTTATATTCCTATACAAAGTAGATTTTATTAATGTGATAAAAGTATACAGAATAGAATATCCATATTTTCTTTAAAAATTTGTCTAGAAAGATCTAAGATGACTATAAACAATTATTCATGTAGTCGAAAGTTTAAATAAATAATTATGAGATCAATATCAAGTCCTATTCTGTTGTAAAACTTTACTGGTGAAATTGTTAAAACATTTACCGGAAAGAAATAGTCAGTCAGTAGGCAATTGATTGTCTCTACATAAATGCTGCATTTAGCGTTTTACAAATCAACTTAAAAATGGAAATAATCTACTCTATATATGGAGCCGTCAGGTTAACTTATAGATCTCTAAAATGTATGTTTCTAAACTTAGAATTTGTAAGTAATTTCACTTCGTTGATAGAGATAAAGTGTGTTTAAAAGAATGTTTATGAGAAATTAGTAAGACTTTGTATTTCCTTCAACAAAAGATTGGCCGTAATTATAAAAAATAATTTTGAGCTACCTATTTTCCCTCTCGAAAGAAATTAATGTCGATGGAT